TCGGGGGAGGAGACCGAGTATTTCGCCCCCTACGGAGCAACTACGGAAAGCAAGCAACAGCAACTCCAGAAGAAGCAGAAGCGCACCAGACAGCGCGTGGACGCCGGCGAGCCGCGCAACAACTATTCGAGTATACCGCACTTCACCTCCCGGCCATCCTTCCACGGTGGTGGTCTATACGGTTCGATTTTCGGTGGCAACGGGCCATCGCATCCACAACCGCCACAGCAACAGCCGCAACATCACCAGCCACAGTCGCAACAACAACAGCTCCAGCAACAACAGGCTGGAGCGGCCGGCAGTCAAGGTCACTTAGGCACAGCTACGACGGGTCCCACCGTTCAGCAGCATTCCGCCCAAGCGGCATTCGGTTTCTTCGGGGCACCGGGTTACGGCCCCGCCAAGATGTTGAACGAGCTGCTCGGACGACAAGTCAAGCAGGCCAGTGACGCCGGTGGTTCACCGCCAGAGGGCGGCCACGGGATGACTGGCGCCGGCATGGATTCCGCCGCGAATTTGCAATCGGGTACTGTGGTTAATTGCGACGATCCCGCCACCGCCGAGCTCACGCAGCACATGCTTCGTGACATACTGCAAGGGCGCAAGCTCGGCGCGCTCTCGGTACAGGAACAGCCGAACAACAATAACAGTATACACAGCAACAATAACAACAACAATACCACGGATCTACTTAAATCGCAGCAACAGCACCAGCACAGCCCTCAGCAGCAAAATTGTGATAGTGCGCGTAGTGGAACAGTGCAGAGTGGCGGCGAGGAGAGTGTCGACGGTAATAATATCGTGAACAACGCGAGTCACAGTGATCGTGATACCGTGATGCCGGGCGATGCTGAGGATAGCGCGGAGGACGCAGCCGCGGCTGCACGTGCTATGGAGGAGGCGTTCGCCGAAGCGGGCATGGAGCCCGGGGCCAATTTGGACGGGTCGGACTGCGAACAAAGTTTACCGCCTAGTCCCACGCAGCCAAGGTCGGGATCAGTTTCCGTCAAGGAGGAGATACAAGACTCGTTGAATATCAAACGGAGTCCGAGTAACTCCCCTTGCCCGATTGTGCCGAAGACAGAGACCAGCTCGCCCACGACTGAGATCAAGCGCGCCCGTGTCGAGAACATTGTCAGCACGATGCGCAGTAGTCCTGCCCTCCAAACACCCGCGGTGAACGGTTGCAAGAAACGCAAGCTCTACCAGCCACAGCAGCAGACCGTGCACCACGTTCTCCAACACACCGTCAACGACAGCATGATAGACGACGAGGAGGAGAGCGAGGAGGAGGAGGACCCTTCGACGATCAGGCAGAAGGAGAGGGAAAAGGACAATCTGAAGAGTCAGCTGAAGTTGTTGCACGAGCAGCTGGCGGTGATGCAGCAAAAATACAATGAGCTATCGAGCAAAATGGATCCGGACACAAGCGAGAGCGGCGACGCACCCGCGAGTCCTCAGCAACAACCTCAACCTCAACCACCACCGCCTAGACCACCGCGACCTCATCCACCGGCGTACAATGGGCTCCCAGCCATACCGCCCGAACACACGCACGCTTCA